GCTGAGTATAACACACAAACCTTTTACAAATCAGATTTTAATAAAATAAAATAAAATAGAGGCTAATGTATTTGTCCCAAACTTCCTTTTAGTATTTGGAGGAATATTTCTTCTCTTCGGGAAAACACAGAGAAGAATAGAATAGAATAGAATAGAATAGAATAGAATAGAATAGAATAGAATAGAATTTTTTATTGGCCAAGTGTGATTGGACATACAAGGAATTTATCTCTGGTGCATAAGCTCTTGGTGTACATACAAGCAACAAGTGATACATCATGATAATCATAAGATACATTCATCAGAAATCATAAGATATAATCATTTAGTGATAGTCATAGGACACTAAATATAACAACACTAAATTTATCAACATAAATCATATTAGGATACTAAATAAAACAATAGTATAAATTGTAAAATACAAGCAACAAAGGAATAGTCATAAGAGGATAAGGAAATAGGTAATAGGAAAGATGAGAAGAATAATAGTAATACAGCCCTACTAGGTAGTTTGACAGTGTTATGGGAATTAGTTGTTTAGCAGAGTGATGGGCATGGGAAAAATGTATTTGTGTCTACTGGTAGTTGTTTTGGTGTGCAACGCTCTATAGCCGTGGTGGCGAACCTATGGCACGGGTGCCACAGGCGGCACACAGAGCCCTCTCTGTGGGCACACGCGCCGTCGCCCCAGTCCTAGACCTTCAGCTGGATTTTATAAAACCTTTTCACTTTAGGCCTCCGCCGCCGTATGCAAAAAAAAAAAGGTTCAATCAATCAATTTCAACTTCTTGTGGAAAAAAAAAAGATCTCGCAAAGTTTGAATTGATTGATTGAACTTTTTAGTCCCACCCCAATCTGCCATTACCACCGCAGCCATGCCCACCCAATTGGTCACACCCGCACAATGGGCAACGCCCACCCGGCACCCGACGATGCATAAGTGGGTTTTGGGTTGCAATTTGGGCACTCGGTCTCTAAAAGGTTCGCCATCACTGCTCTATAATATCTTCTGGAGGGAAGAAGTTGAAACAGTTTATGTCCAGGATGTGAGGGGTCTGTAGATATTTTCACAGCCCTCTTTCTGGCTTGTGCAGTATACAGGTCCTCAATGGAAGGCAGACTGGTAGTAATTGTTTTTTCTGCAGTTCTAACTATCCCTTGAAGTCTGTGTGTGTCTTGTTTGGTTGCAGTGCCAAACCAGACAGTTATAGAGGTGCAAATGACAAACTCAATAATTCCTTTGTAAAACTGTATCAACTCCTCTTTGGGCAGTCTGAGCTTTCTGAGTTGGTGCAGGAAGAACATTCTTTGTTGTGCTATTTTAGACCCCAGTTCTATCCTATTTAACATCTAGGTGAAACTGCTAGGAGAGTTCCTCTGAACATTTGAAGTGTGCCAGAACTGTACTATAACGCTCATCTTTCTTGTTCGTTATAACTAACTCCAAGTAAGCAACCACTATGTTGTCTAAATTTGATAGCGTATTGGTTATATGAGGAAGATAAGCAGAACATGCTGTTGATCAAAAGGAAGTTATGGACTAAGATTTACCCTGTTACGACTGAAGTTGTTCTCTCCCTGATCAGGCTGTTCTGGGATTGGAATTTACTGATTCTGGAATCACAGGTGATAACTATGGCAAACAGAAACTTTTGTACAATTGCAATTAGTGATTTTGGATTCGGTAACAGTTATTAATGCCTTGACTAATTTAAGCAGTAGATATTTATTTTTCTTTTATCGTTCTTATAAACCACTAAATTGGCACTATGACACACTGTACATGGGGCTGCCCTTGAAGACCATTCAGAAACTTCAACTAGTACAGGATGCAGCTACGCAGGTAGTAACTGGTACACGTAATGCCACTACTGCATGAGCTGCATAGTTACCAGTGTTTCTGGGTGCAATACAAGGCAGTGATTATCTATAAAGCCCTATATCTGAGGGTTTGCCTTTTCTCCAGTGTTTCTGCCTGTCCAATTAAATAGGATGGGCATGCTGCAGATAAGAATGTCAGCTGACGGGGACAAGAAGATGAGTTTTTTTCTGCAGCAGCCCCTGCTCTGTGGAACATCCTCCCTTTAGAGATTAGAATGGCCCCAACTCTGTTAAGCCTTCTGTAAAGCTTTAAAAACTAGCTATGCTCCCGTGTGCCAAAGGCTCCGTTTCTTGGCTATATTGTTAATCAGCTAGATGACTTGCTCTGTATGTACTCAAATTAAGACTTTTTGATTTTTTTAATTGTTTTAAAGGGTTTATCTGTTTTTATTTTTAAAATGTTTTTAGGATTTTAATTGTAATATGCGTTTTTGAATTGTGAGCTGCCTGGAGTTGTTTGCTGAGATGGGCGGCTATAGAAATTAATCAAACAAACTAATATGATATAAAAAACAATGATTCTGGATTTCCTGTGTGTATGTTTCAGTGTGTGTGTATTTAATATAATAATAATGATGATGATGATGATGATGATGATGATGATGATGATAAAGTTGAAAGGGACCTTGGAGGTCATCTAGTCCAACCCCCTGCTCAGGCAGGAAACCCTATACCATTTCGGACAAATGGCTGTCCAGTTTCTTCTTAAAAACTTCCAGAGTTGGCGCATTCACCGCTTCTGGAGGCAGGTTGTTCCACTGGTTAATTGTTCTAACTGTCAGGAAGTTTCTCCTTAGTTCTAGGTTGCTTCTCTCTTTGGTTAGTTTTCACCCGTTGCTTCTTGTCCTGCCTTCAGGAGCCTTGGAGAATAGCTTGACTCCCTCTTCTTTGGGGCAGCCCTTGAGATATTGGAACGCTGCTATCATGTCCATGTCCCCCCTCGTCCTTCTCTTCGTTAAACTAGACATACCCAGTTCCAGCAACCGTTCCTTATACTGTATGTTTTAGCCTCCAGTCAGAGAGGAAGATGATCACAAACCTTGTTAGAATAAGATTGAGCAGAAATTGACCATCATTCAGGTGTTGTCAGAAATATATTTTGGTAAAATATCACAAGCAAACGAAGTGTTGGCCCTCAAAGTGTCAAAGTACATGGGACAGTAGATTCTTTGTCAAGAATTCTAACAACTTTGATTCTATCATTTTTAATGACCTTGACAAAACTTGATATCTAAAACACATAAGGCATCTAATAAATGTTACTTTGGCATTGAGAGACATCTGTCTATTCCTGACTATTGACGCCTACCTCTTGCACTTGGCTTTGACAACATAAGAGGACTAGGTGAAAGTAAACAGATTCATGTTCCGAAGAACTATCATATCATTGTGTGAAATGAAAAGGGTGCAAGGTCTTTTCCAGCTGAGGACACTAAAGTAATACTGACTGCTGAGTCATGGTACTGTGTAAAACCCCTTAAGCCTTTGTCTCATAGGGATGCAGGTGAACCCAGATGGAGTACCTCCATTGGTCTAAGCCAGGGATAGGCAACCTTGGCTCTTTTATGTCTCGTGGACTTCAACTCCCACAATTCCTGAGCCAGCCATGCTGAGGGGAAAGGGAGAGGTTTCCAAGCTGAGCCATGCTGGCTCAGGAATTCTGGGAGTTGAAGTCCACGAGTCATAAAAGAGCCAAGGTTGCCTGCCCCTGGTCTAGGCCAGGAGTCCCCAACCTTGGGCACTTTATGACTTGTGGACTTCAACTGGCTGGCTGAGGAATTCTGGAAGTCCACAAGTCATAAAGTGCCCAAGGTTGGGGACCCCTGGTCTAGGCCTTGCTCTTCAGTGTGTGTGCCCATATTACCTTCATCTTATCAGCCTATGAATGAAATCGAATTAAGTTTTCCTTAGGCTTAAAGTAATATTTTCCCACTTCAACGAAGTGCTGTCTATGGCTGTACTGAAATGGGTAGCTCTACCTTTCTTAGGTTTATCATCCTTATCCTCAAAAGTCAGGGATTGCAGCGGCTGAGAACATAAAGCCCATTGTAATGCAGCTGTTAAGGTGTTGAGTTGCAACCAGGAAAACATGTACTCTAAGCTGTGGATGTTCTCTGAGTATCAGAGCAGGTAAGGTTGCTGCCTCCATGAATTAGTGCTTCCATAGCTGGCCAGCAAGGCATCAATAACTATTTATTTATATCCCGCCTTTATTATTTTTACAAATAACTGAAGGCACTGAACACAAACAACACATCTTCCTCCTCCTGTTTCCCCCACAGCAACAAGCTTGCCAGGTGAGTTGGGTTGACACTGGCCCAAGGTCACCCAACGAGCTTAACTATTAGACCAAATTCCAATCATTGATCCAATATCTGTGCAAACCTTTAAACCAGGGGGTCTTCAAACTTGGCCCTTTTATGACTTGTGGACTTCAACTCCCAGAATTCCTCAGCCAGCATATGCTGGCTGAGGAATTCTGGGAGTTGAAGTCCACAAATCATAAAAGGGCCAAGTTTGAAGACCCCTGGTTTAAACCTGCTTCTTATATTATAAACACATCTGTTGTTTTACGGGGCAGGCTGAAAATTTAAGGTTAAGAGGAGATTAAATCCTACGCCAGGGGTAGGCAACCTTGGCTCTTTTATGACTCGTGGACTTCAACTCCCAGAATTCCTGAGCCAGCCATGCTGAGGGGAAAGAGAGATTTCCAAGCTGAGCCATGGCTGGCTCAGGAATTCTGGGAGTTGAAGTCCACGAGTCATAAAAGAGCCAAGGTTGCCTACCCCTGTCCTACGCACAACTGACAACTGCCTGCAGTACCTGCACAACCGTGCACTTTTTTAACCGTCACGCTATTTTCTTAACCAAGGCGATCGGCTATTTGGCAAATGACGTGTCAATTAACGCCATCTCGCATTTGGATTGGATTGTCTCACACAGCTCTTCCCCGGGATTCCGAAACGTCAGCCTTGCCCTTCAGAGGAACCCGTTGATTCGATTGGAGCATAAGATATCCGACGTCTCGGGATTGGCTCCTCCGATGGTCGCCGCCCCGCCTCCCTCGTAGCGTCACCCAGCACGTTCGGTTGCGGTGGGGTTTCCACGTCAGAGGAAAGAGAGGAGCCGGTACTCGTCCGCCTTTCTTCGGCTTGGCGGGGCCCGCGGCTGAACTGCCTCACGAAATGCCCAGGCGCCTGTCGACGCCCGCCAAAGCCGGGCCCGTTTTGAACGACGCCGGATGGATGGAAGGGTGAGTGAGGGATGGAGGGAATCAGTCGCAGAAAGGCTCGGACTGCGCTTGGGCCTGCCTTGCCGGCGGCCGCGATGCTCCCAGCAAGCAAGCAAGCGGTGGTTAAGTCCAAAGGTAGCAGCAGCGCCAAAGCCGAGCGACGTGGTGTCCCGTAGTGCCGCTTGAGAATGTGTTTCCCTTCCGTGGACTGGACGGGAAGGGAATACCGGGTAGCTGGAGACCTCCGAGACGAGCCAGTTTTCCGCGAATGGTCCGAAGGCGAGGGGGGTGTTGAAAAGGAGGGCGGACTTCGGAGCGTATCGCTTACATAATAATAATTAATAATAATTATTAATTTATTATTATTAATTTATTATTAATTTATATTATTATTATTATTATTATTATTATTATTATTATTATTATTATTATTATTATTATTCTGGATCACATAGATCCATGTAACCTTGCATGGTTACATGGATCTATGTGATCCAGAACAATTATTGTTGTTGTTATTATTATTATTATTATTATTATATTATTATTATTATATTATTATTTTATTATTATTATTATTATTATTATTATTATTATTAAGTTGGAAGGGACCTTGGAGGTCATCTAGTCCAGTGGTTCTCAACCTGTGGGTCGGGACCCCATTTGGGGTCGATCGACCATTTCACCGGGGTCGCCAAGCAAGGCTGTCCGCCATTTTTTTTTGTCCGTCATTTTTCCCCCCTTTTCCGGCGGGTGCCTTACCTCCCTTGGGCTGGGCCAGCTGGTGGTCGGCCTGCCTCGTCTCTGCCGCTTGCCAGCTACGCCTCGGCCGGCGCAGGGGGCGGAACCACGCATGCGCGGCGCTCCCGGGCAGGGAAAGTCCTCGACTTACGACCGGTTGGGTAGTCCTCGACTTACGACCGGTTTAGTCCTCGACTTACGACCGGTTTAGTCCTCGACTTACGACCGGTTGGGGTCGCGGCATTAAAAAGGTTGAGAACCACTGATCTAGTCCAACACCCTGCTCAGGAAGGAAACCCTACTCACCATTTCGGACAAATGGCTGTCCAGTCTCTTCTTAAAAACTTCCAGGGTTGGAGCATTCACCCGTTCCTCGGCAGTCCGGCCCAACGGTAGCTGCCCTGCTTTTTTTTTTTTAATTTTAAATCAAAGACTTGGCCCTTTCGCTTGGCAAGGCCTGTGTTCCAGGGTGTGGACAGCATGGAGCTATACAGCGTGGTCCCCTCTCCCCGCCCGTGGTTTTGAATTGGAAATGCTTTCCTGTTTTTGCTGGGGTGACCTCTTGGGAATTGCGAAAGTCTGGAGGGACACTGGGGGAAAGAGGTGTGGTGTTGTAACGAATGTGCAAACCTTATTGGGAACCAGGTTGTCAGCTGTCTGGTTGACACCCAGGTCTGAAGGAGTGGTGTTGTTTTTGACAACTGTTCTGTAGTTGTGTATGGATTTAGGGATCCAAGTCAGAACTTTAGAGTTTTCTCCACCCACTGACCATATTTCTCGATCCGCTGACAACGTCTGATAGAATTAGCTAAGTTCTAGCCATTATTCAGCGGCTAGAACAGTAAGGAAGATAAAGGTTTACATTGCTTCAACACAGTATACATTACAAGTAGGGAAATAGCTTTTAAAAAAATCACGTACTGAATTAACTGTTGGCTAGTTTGTTCTCCATCCACTGACTATCTTTCTATCCACTGACAACGGCTGATAGAATTACCTAAGTTCTAGCCATTATTCAGCAGTTAGAACAGTAAGGAAGATAAAGGTTTGCGTTGCCTGAGTGATGGATGATTGCTGGAAAAAAATGCTAGAACACAGTATACATTACAAGTAGGGAAATAGCTTTTAAAAAATCACGTACTGAATTAACTGTTGGCTAGTTCTCCATCCACTGACAATATCTCTCTATTCACTGACAACATCTGATAGAATTAGCTAAGTTCTAGCCATTATTCAGCGGCTAGAACAGTAAGGAAGATAAAGGTTTGCATTGCCTCAGTGATGGGTGATTGCTGAAAAAAAATGCTAGAACACAGTATACATTACAAGTAGGGAAAGAGCTTTTAAAAAATCAGGTACTGAATTAACTGTTGGCTACTTTTGCACCATATTGTGGTTTAGCACAATGTGTTAAATTAATGCTTTTCTCAGTTCAATTAGATTTGGGGTCTAACCATGAGCCCTACCCATTATTCGTTCAAATCTAGTTATATACTATCTTGATTTATTTAAAGCAATTGTTGAATATTAGAAAGGTTGCTTATAGTGTAAATTGGAATACTTAGGACCCTGTGTGTAGAGACTCTGTAAAGATTCTAATTGTATCATCTGTTTACATGCTTGTCTACTTTTTGTGGAAAGCAAAACATATTGCAATCTTGCTTGTTAATTTATTTTAGCTTTTTTTTAAGTTGTACGAGGTTAGCAAATAGGAGATTACAGATTCTTTTTTAGATACACATGATTATTGAAGGTCACCCACATTTTATTAATTGGGCATCACAGTATGGTTGGGCCTGTTGCACAAAAAGATTCGTTCTGTGTTGAGTATATGGATTGTTTTATATCATTTGAGCCACATTGCTAATATGCAAGGATGCTAATAAAAATTTACCGATTTATATTTAGTTTAGGAGTTGTATTCTAAAAGGTAAAATGGATATATTCAGCTTACTGGAGACTTGACACATGCATTTTTCTTTGTATTTTCCAACCTACAGAAAACTGTGGTACTATGCAGTAGTTTATAGTACAAACCCAGTCTGCTCAATCAATCCCTACTATAAGTATGACGCAATATATCTTTTTAAAGTATTGATATAATATGAATTTGTAAGAACTTTCAAATAAGATCTCTAAGGGGGATTTTATTTAGAACTTTTTCTGACTACAATCCTATCAGTTTGATGCTTAAGAAAAATCTTAAGTATCAAGTTAAGGTCTTAAGATCCCCACAGGCCTTGGGCCTGCTTCCCACTTAGTCACTCATCTCCTGGATGAGACTGGCTGCAGTGCAGCTTGCAGGCCTTTGGCTTGTTCCTAAGAAGCCTACCTGGCCTCTTGGACCATGATGTGTGGGAGGGAGTTGTAGTACTCCCACAGTTGTAAGCACAAACCACTGCAACAATAACTTAATTTCGCTGTGAGTTACACAATGACGATAAATGTATTCTATTCTATATTCAGGCAAGGATCATAAGTCCCTTTGTTCAGCATCATCCTAATTTCAAATGGCCACTGAACGAATGGTTGTAGGTTGAGAAATACCTGTGTGCTCAAAAGTGGAAGGATTTACCCACTGTTTGGAAGGATGGATGGTGAGGCTGGAGATGGCAAAATAGATGGCCTTGGTGAAATTTGTCATGCCCTTATTTCTACTTGGAAACCATTGTTGAATGTTTTATGAGAAGCTGAAAGAAACAAAAAGTTGATTTGGGATTAGAGTTAAGAGATTGATGTAGTTTTCACTTATCTGTACTAAAGAAAATTAGTGAATGTCTCTTTTTTCCTTCTTTCAAATATTTATTTCTGTTTATCTTCTAACTTTATATTTTTTTTTAAAAAATAAAAAATCAATATATATGAAACGTGTTTAGTAATAGCCTTTCAGTGGTGATCTGAATCTAATAAATAGGTGAGGAACCTCACAGCCAGAAAGACCCTGTCTACTTCCTTAGGTGTCCCAGACTCAAACTCATCTGAAATTAAACCCACGAGATAAAACCCTAGATATTTCAAGTGGATTAAGCCTAGTAGGAGTCCAGTTCCAAATGTATCTTGAGCTGTTTTCTCTACCAGATAGCTTATGTTCTTATGTATACTCATTCTTTGGCTTACGGTCTCATGGAAAAGTGTATCTACAGTTTCAGAGTATTTCTTGATGCTTGACTGATGCTGGTTTTCAAGAGAGGATACTAATAAATTAAATATTTGCAGATGCATCTAATGCGTTATTTGTGACATATCTACTGGTCATGTATTTTTAATTCATTTCTAATTCTTCTTCTTGTTAGTTGCGAAGTCGTGTCCGACCCATCGCGACCCCATGGACAATGCTCCTCCAGGCCTTCCTGTCCTCTGCCATCTTCTGGAGTCCATTGAAGCTCACGCCTACTGCTTCAGTGACTCCATCCATCCACCTCATTCTCTGTCGTCCCCTTCTTCTATTGCCCTCAATCTTTCCCAGCATTAGGCTCTTCTCCAGGGAGTCCTTCCTTCTCATTAGGTGGCCAAAGTACTTGAGTTTCAACTTCAGGATCTGGCCTTCTAAAGAGCAGTCGGGGTTGATCTCCTCTAGGACTGACCGGTTTGATCGCCTTGCAGTCCAGGGGACTCGCAGGAGTCNGTCCTCGACTTACGACCGGTTTAGTCCTCGACTTACGACCGGTTGGGGTCGCGGCATTAAAAAGGTTGAGAACCACTGATCTAGTCCAACACCCTGCTCAGGAAGGAAACCCTACTCACCATTTCGGACAAATGGCTGTCCAGTCTCTTCTTAAAAACTTCCAGGGTTGGAGCATTCACCCGTTCCTCGGCAGTCCGGCTCAACGGTAGCTGCTCTGCTTTTTTTTTTAAATTTATTTAAATCAAAGACTTGGCCCTGTCGCTTGGCAAGGCCTGGGTTCCAGGGTGTGGACAGCATGGAGCTATACAGCGTGGTCCCCTCTCCCCGCCTGTGGTTTTGAATTGGAAATGCTTTCCTTTTTTTGCTGGGGTGACCACTTGGGAATTGCGAAAGTCTGGAGGGACACTGGGGGAAAGAGGTAGGGTGTTGTAACAAATGTGCAAATCTTATTGGGAACCAGGTTGTCAGCTGTCTGGTTGACACCCAGGTCTGAAGGAGTGGTGTTGCTTTTGACAACTGTTCTGTAGTTGTGTATGGATTTAGGGATCCGAGTTAGAACTTTAGAGTTTTCTCCACCCGCTGACCATATTTCTCGATCCGCTGACAACGTCTGATAGAATTAGCTAAGTTCTAGCCATTATTCAGCGGCTAGAACAGTAAGGAAGATAAAGGTTTACATTGCTTCAACACAGTATACATTACAAGTAGGGAAATAGCTTTTAAAAAAATCACGTACTGAATTAACTGTTGGCTAGTTTGTTCTCCATCCACTGACAATATCTTTCTATCCACTGACAACGTCTGATAGAATTAGCTAAGTTCTAGCCATTATTTGGCGGCTAGAACAGTAAGGAAGATAAAGGTTTGCATTGCCTCAGTGATGGGTGATTGCTGGAAAAAAATGCTAGAACACAGTATACATTACAAGTAGGGAAATGGCTTTTAAAAATCAGGTACTGAATTAACTGTTGGCTAGTTCTCCATCCACTGACAATATCTCTCTATTCACTGACAACATCTGATAGAATTAGCTAAGTTCTAGCCATTATTCAGCGGCTAGAACAGTAACGAAGATAAAGGTTTGCATTGCCTCAGTGATGGGTGTTTGCTGGAAAAAAAAAGCTAGAACACAGTATACATTACAAGTAGGGAAAGAGCTTTTAAAAAATCAGGTACTGAATTAACTGTTGGCTACTTTTGCACCATATTGTGGTTTAGCACAATGTGTTAAATTAATGCTTTTCTCATTTCAATTAGATTTGGGGTCTAACCATGAGCCCTATCCATTATTCGTTCAAATCTAGTTATATACTATCTTGATTTATTTAAAGCAATTGTTGGATATTAGAAAGGTTGCTTATAGTGTAAATTGGAATACTTAGGAGTGTAGAGGCTCTGTAAAGATTCTAATTGTGTCATCTGTTTACATGCTTGTCTACTTTTTATGGAAAGCAATCTTTCTTGTTAAATTTATTTTAGCTTTTTTTAAGTTGTACGAGGTTAGCAAATAGTAGATTACAGATTCTTTTTTAGATATACATGATTATTGAAGGTCACCCACATTTTATTAATTGGGTATCACAGTATGGTTGGGCATCACAGTATGGTTGGGCCTGTTGCACAAAAAGATTCATTCTGTGTTGAGTATATGGATTGTTTTATATCATTTGAGCCACATTGCTAATATGCAAGGATGCTAATAAAAATTTACCGATTTATATTTAGTTTAGCAGTTGTATTCTAAAAGGTAAAATGGATATATTCAGCTTACTGGAGACTTGACACATGCATTTTTCTTTGTATTTTCCAACCCACAGAAAACTGTGGTACTATGCAGTAGTTTATAGTACAAACCCAGTCTGCTCAATCAATCCCTACTATAAGTATGACACAATATATCTTTTTTAAGTATTGATATAATATGAATTTGTAAGAACTTTCAAATAAGATCTCTAAGGGGGATTTTATTTAGAACTTTTTCTGACTACAATCCTATCAGTTTGATGCTTAAGAAAAATCTTAAGTATCAAGTTGAGGTCTTAAGATCCCCACAGGCCTTGGGCCTGCTTCCCACTTAGTCACTCATCTCCTGGATGAGACTGGCTGCAGTGCAGCTTGCAGGCCTTTGGCTTGTTTCTAAGAAGCCTACCTGGCCTCTTGGACCATGATGTGTGGGAGGGAGTTGTAGTGCTCCCACAGTTGTAAGCACAAACCACTGCAACAATAACTTAATTTCGCTGTGAATTACACAATGACGATAAATATATTCTATTCTATATTCAGGCAAGGATCATAAGTCCCTTTGTTCAGCATCATCCTAATTTCAAATGGCCACTGAACGAATGGTTGTAGGTTGAGAAATACCTGTATGCTCAAAAGTGGAAGGATTTACCCACTGTTTGGAAGGATGGATGGTGAGGCTGGAGATGGCAAAATTGATGGCCTTGGTGAAATTTGTCATGCCCTTATTTCTACTTGGAAACCATTGTTGAATGTTTTATGAGAAGCTGAAAGAAACAAAAAGTTGATTTGGGATTAGAGTTAAGAGATTGATGTAGTTTTCACTTATCTGTACTAAAGAAAATTAGAAGTCATTCTTTCCATCAGTGAATGTCTCTTTTTTCCTTCTTTCAAATATTTATTTCTGTTTATCTTCTAACTTTATATTTTTTTAAAAAAAATCAAAAATCAATATATATGAAACGTGTTTAGTAATAGCCTTTCAGTGGTGATCTGAATCTAATAAATAGGTGAGGAACCTCACAGCCAGAAAGACCCTGTCTACTTCCTTAGGTGTCCCAGACTCAAACTCATCTGAAATTAAACCCACGAGATAAAACCCTAGGTATTTCAAGTGGATTAAGCCCAGTAGGAGTCCAGTTCCAAATGTATCTTGAGCTGTTTTCTCTACCAGATAGCTTATGTTCTTATGTATACTCATTCTTTGGCTTACGGTCTCATGGAAAAGTGTATCTACAGTTTCAGAGTATTTCTTGATGCTTGACTGATGCTGGTTTTCAAGAGAGGATACTAACAAATTAAATATTTGCAGATGCATCTAATGCGTTATTTGTGACATATCTACTGGTCATGTATTTTTAATTCATTTCTAATTCTTCTTCTTGTTAGTTGCGAAGTCGTGTCCGACCCATCGCGACCCCATGGACAATGCTCCTCCAGGCCTTCCTGTCCTCTGCCATCTTCTGGAGTCCATTGAAGCTCACGCCTACTGCTTCAGTGACTCCATCCATCCACCTCATTCTCTGTCGTCCCCTTCTTCTATTGCCCTCAATCTTTCCCAGCATTAGGCTCTTCTCCAGTGAGTCCTTCCTTCTCATTAGGTGGCCAAAGTACTTGAGTTTCAACTTCAGGATCTGGCCTTCTAAAGAGCAGTCGGGGTTGATCTCCTCTAGGACTGACCGGTTTGATCGCCTTGCAGTCCAGGGGACT